TGGAACCTATTTGGGATTCTCTCTCTCTCTCTCTCTCTCTCTTTCTCCCCCTCTGCCCCTTCCCTGCTTGTGTGCATGTGAGCGCTCACTCTCTCTTTTCTCAAAATGAATATTAAAAAAATAATAAAATAAAGGGAAAGAGCATATAACCCATTTGTAAATTATAGGCTACACAACTGGAAAGCATTACTTTTCCATGGATAATATATCCTGCTTTACATATGTAAAATGCCTGCTTTACATATGGTAGCAGGTATTTTTTTTTTAATTTTTAAAATTTATTTATTTTTGAGAATGAGAGAGACAGAGCACGAGCAGGGGAGGGGCAGAGAGAGAGGGAGACACAGAATCTGAAGCAGGCTCCAGGCTCTGAGCTGTCAGCACAGAGCCCCATGTGGGGCTCGAACCCATGAACTGTAAGATCATGACCTGAGCTGAAGTCAGACGCTCAACTGACTGAGCCCCCCTCCAGGCGCCCCTGGTAGCAGATATTTTTATTACTTTTTTTTTTTAAGTTTACTTATTTTGAGAGAGAGAGAGAGAGAGAGAGAGAGAGAATTCCAAGCTGGCTCCATGCCATCAATGCAGAGCCAGACATGGGGCTAGATCTCATGAACCCGTGAGATCATGACCTGAGTGAAATGAAGAGTCAGACGCTTAACCAACTGAGCCACCCAAGTGTGCCAAGATTTGTATTTTTTTATTTCTTTATTTTTTATTTTTTAAAGTAATCTCTACCTATGGTGTGGGGCTTGAACTTGTAATCCCAAAATCAAGAGTTGCACGCCCTTCGGACTGAGCCAGCCAGGAGCCCTTCAGCTCACTATTTTTAGCTGACAGTTTCCATCTAATATTCTTTATTTTTTACGTCAGAGTGGATACATTAAGCTAGATTCTACTCAGCAGGGAGACTAACAGACTTAGTACCTTTTTATCATCATAATAGACTGCATTAAATATTATTAATAGAGTAGGCCTCAGTAGAAATGGGGGCATCTTCCATAATAACCGTTTATAAACAGCATTCACTTCTTTACTACAGTGTAGGTTCAGTGAGAGTGAGGGTCTCATGTGCCTTCTACACCAGTGTTTCCCCGGAGCCTGGCATACTGCCTGACCTATAAGAGGCACTGGTTGGATTATTTCCAGAAGCCTCCTATGGGCCAGGCCCTTTGCTGGGCCCTGGGGGCCCCCAAATTAATCAGGCCTCATTCCTGCCTTGGAGTTCTTGACGTCTGAGCATGTGTGGAAAGTAGTGGAAGAAGAGACACTTTGGATCACGCCAAGTAAAGGTGGTCCCGGGAGATAATAATTGGGCTAGGGGTGTGGGAATAGCGTCCAGGACTGAGGGTGGAGGCTTCGGATTGGAGGACCTCAGCTCTGAAGACAGAACCAATAGAATAGAAAGACCAGGTGTCTAGGTGATCCAGGTGGGCCCGAGGACTGGGCAGAGTTTCTGCAGGATGGAGCCTCAGAAGGAATTCCCTGGGGCTGGGAGAGGCTGGAGAAAGTTAGAAGGGACTGGAGTGACCTGGAAACACTGGTGGCACTTGGGCAAGACTGGCAGAGACCCAAGGAGACCAAAAACTGGGACAGTGTCGGGGAGCCAGGGACCTGAGGTCTTGGGAAAAGCTTCAACACACACATCTTGTTGAGAAAAAGGATGGAGGTTCTGGAGGACAGTTCCATTTTCAACGTCACGTCAGCTGATTCAGGCTCTCCTGGAGGCCGTAGTCTGTCCTTATTGGCTTGAGGGGCATGTGCTGGAGGGTACCAAGAACCTGGGCCCACAGTCAGCCTTTGATGCCAACAAATGCGGAAGCCTGTTGGAGCCTGGTGCGGCCACGTGTGTGTGCACACACGCGTGCCTGTGCCTGTGTGTGCATGTGCCGTGGTGAGGGTGGGACTCAGGGAGATGAAGCAGGAGGGGTGTCTGGTTGGTTCAGTTGGGAGAGCATGTGACTCTTGATCTTGAGATCGTGAGTTTGAGCCCCATGTTGGGTTAGACATTAAATCAATAAACTTAAAAAAAAAAAAAAAGAGAGGAACCAGGGTTAAAGGCTTGAGACTGGAGGTGGAATGTAAATGAAAATGAGTGGGATTGAGGTAGGATTTATAGGACTTGGGGTGGAGTAGGAGGAAGAGGGGCTTGGGGCCAGAAATATGATCTGGCATGGGGATGGGAGTGAGGATAAGGTTGAGTCTCAGGATGAGGATGGGTTTGAGTTGGGGATTGAGCTTGGTTTTGGAGATGGGGTTGGGGTTGAGTTTGGGGCTGGGTTTGTAAGAGGATGGAGGTTAGGTCAGGTGGCAGGACAGGGTTAAGGAGTAGGTTGTGCTTGTGCTTGGGGATGGGACTGACCTTAGCGTTGGTGTTGGTGATGAAAGTGGGGTCTGGTTTAGGAATTGAGGTGGAGTTGAGTTTGTTAGAGCTGGGTAGAGCTGGGTTATAAATGGGGCTGGGTTTGGGGTTAGGTATGAAGTTATGGATTGGGTTGAGTTGGGGTCAGGTTTGGGAATGAGAATAGGGTTGGGTTGGAGGATAGGGATGGAGTTCAGGATGGGGTTGGGTTTGAAATGGGGTAGAGACTGCAGATGGGCTCTGTGATCTGACACCTCCTTCGTCACACCTCCACGGCCCAGACTTCCTGAAGCCTGTCTGTTGCTCTCCACTAGAGCTACATCCACCGCCATTTTTGTGCCGGCGCCCTGCCGCTTATGATCTGAATCTCTCTCTGGGAGCCTGCCCTTCTGAGCATGTTCTCAGGAGTGGCCATCTATCTCAGTGGTGAGGGTCTGGGTGAAGGATGGGGGTTTGCAAACTGGAGTCTCTGATAATGGAAGAGGACCTGGGCTCTTGAGTCACTGTGTTGTGGGGCTGCTGGCTCAAGGTCATCTTCATGACAGAGGTCCTCTTCTAGGCCATTCCCCGGTTCATAGAGGTCAAGTGTGCCTGAGCCTTCTACCTGGGCTGCCACACCTTCACCTGACACTTGCTCATCTGTGAGGCATTACCTAGGACCTGGTATTGATATAGGCGGAGGGGGCTTGCTCTTGGAGGGTGGGAGGGTCCTGTGCCCCTGCCCCTGCCCCTGCCACTCAGGCACCCCGATGAAGGCCACTGGACTGGAGGCCCTGCTCAAAGCAGAGCTGTGTGTGAACTCTTCTTACCAGATAAGGATGTGGGCATGTCTTTCTCCCCACAAACTTTCAGAATTGTGATTCTCCACCCTCTGCTTGCCTTGGGTATAAGCTCCAAGCCATCGATCCAGGAATCTGAGCCCCTGCCTGCCTGCCTCTTCCTCGAGACCTGAGTCCAGGCCTCCAGACCTTGCCCCCTCAGCCCCAAGTATCTTGGCCTCCGGCCCCCTCTTTCTGCAGAGACGCCAAAGTCGGGGCCCCTCTCTTCCAGGATGGAAGGTTGCAGAACCCACAGGAAAGCATGACACAACCCTCAACTGTCCCCTCTGGCCACATCCCCCATTTAACTCACACCCTGGCCTCACTTGCCACCTCCCACCTTGAGGCCCCCAAGCCTCTCACACTTCTTCCAGGAAGCATCTTCTGATGTTAAGGGCTCTAAGGGTGGGAGGTACAGAACCTAAAACAGACAGGCAAGTTCTGAACCACCCCTCAAACCACTGATGAGATGACACTCTCCACCACACACTATGAGGGGACTTGAATCTCCTTGGGGGGAGGGCGTTGTCAGGGTAACCAGGAAGGGAGGGCTTACTGCAAGAGTCAGCTACTGGGAACTGCAGGAGACCACACCAGCCTGGTTTCAAAGGCTTAAAGGCTTCTCTTTCTGGAGCTCAGAGGACCCACGATCACCAGCTTCTTCATCTCCCAGGCCCCAGACACCCAACTGCTCATCTCCATGGAGCTCTGTCGGTCCTTGGCCTTATTCACTGGCTGCCTGGGCCTGGTGTCCATCCTGATCGCTTTGAGCACGGATTTCTGGTTCGTGGCCATGGGGCCTAAATTTTCATTTCACTCGGGCCTCTGGCCAGAGGGGTTTCACAATATGGTGGCAGGTAAGGGATGGCAGTCTCTTTTGGTGGGGGGGAGAGGGGTTGCGTGAGGGGCAGGCACCCAAATCTTCTCTCTTGCACAGCCTACATCCACGTGACACAGAGCTTCAGCATTCTGGCCGCCCTGTGTGGCCTGGTGTCGGTGATCCTCATGGTCCTGTCCTACATCCCCTCAGTGTCCATTCCAGGCCGCGGGCCCCTTGCCTCCTCTGTCACAGCCTTTGTTGCAGGTAGACTCCAGGCTGTACCTGGGGACTGGGGACTGGTGAGTTCCCACAGAGGTGCTGAGCAGTCTCTCCTGTCTTCATCCTCAGCCATCTTCGTGATGGTGGCCATGGTCGTCTACACCAGTGAGCGGTGGAACCAGCCCCAACACCCCCAGATCCAGTCCTTCTTCTCCTGGTCTTTCTACCTGGGCTGGGTTTCGATGATTCTCTTGCTCTGTGCAGGTAACCGCTGCTCCAGGAACTGGAGAGGCCGGCTGGGGGGCCTCTGAGAGAGCAGGGTGGGGCAGGTGTTAACCTCTCTCTGTCACCCCAGGTAGCCTGAGTCTGGGTGCTCACTGCAGTGCCCCCCGGCCTGGCTATGACACCTTGTGAGCGAGAGAGGCGACAACAGCAAGGTGAGGCGCTATTCTCTGAAGACACCATCAGGAGCCCCCCCTCCAGCC